CTTTCTTCATTCCCTGGTGTTTCTCATTTCACAGGGCTTAAGCAGGCCTTTTTCATGGGCTTGTTCTGAGCCCCCAGACAAAGAAATTCCTTGCAAGGGGGTAAAAGATTTTAGGCATCTATCAGGAAGATTGTGCATCCCGCAGTACTCAGCCAATGAGGAAGTGGGGGGGGGACTTGCACACTAGGGAATAAATTGCTCGCTACAGCCCTTTTCTGTGTGCCTGTCCCATTCACAGACACGCGGACTTGCAAGGCCGTTATTAAAGCCTCGCTTCACTGTACCTTGTGTCTCCATGCCCATCCTTTGGCATTGGACAGGTGAGGGCATTTCTCACAGAAGTGTGAATCAGAATCTACCATTGGGCCATCAGAATCTTCCCAAATTATGTATCTATATAACAGGGGCCTTCTCCAGACAACTGGAACTCCAGGAGTAGAAGGGAAGCTGTCATGCACTCAGGCAAGCTGTGGAGAGCAATACTTAGGGGTAATAAAACTGCGTGCAGCTGACTGTCCCTCCTGTGAGGGGTCCCAGCTGGGAAGATGCTGATCCCCTCCCCCGTTCTGACACCCAGAGCTGCCTAAGTCATAGACACCAACGGCAAGAAAACATCCCAAAACACTTCTAGTCCAAATCCCTGTTTATAAATGAGGAAACTGAAGCCCGGGAAGAGGAAGGGACTCGCCCAAGGCCACACAGCTGCTGAAGGGCCAGGGCTCCTCCTGCCCCAGTACACTGCCTGCCTCTGGGACCCACCTATGCTGCCTCAATCTCTGGTTGACAGGGCACTTTTCTGGGTGGCCGTGGAAGCTTAAAGTGTTCTGCTGTCATGGCCCCAGCAAAAAGTCACCCTCTCTCCATGCCTCTGCTGGCTAGAGCCCCCTAAGTGCCAGGAAAGCCGGCACTGTCATCCATTCATCAACCCAGAAATAACTCTAGCTGCCCACAACTCACACTCCAGTGAGAAAACTGAGACCCTGAGTACCCCCCACGGGCCAAGAGCACGGCAGGCAGAGTCAGGGCAAGGCTCTAAGCATCTGGTTCCCTGGGCCAGAGTCCACATCAGCCAGAGTCTGCACACACACAAGAATCCCACATCTCTGAGTGCAAAAAGTGGGTTTCTCAAGCTCAGCCTTCTTCCTCCTGCTGGGGGTCACTAGGCTCCTTCTTTGGTGTTCCACCTACAACCACCAGCAGGAGCCCCCTCTGACCCCATCCAGGTCACCTGCTCCAGGAAGGCCCCCAGGCACGAGAGAGAAGCTTCTGTCAAAGTACAATTGAGTCAAATGTCTCAGAGAGCTCCTGTTTCATCATCACTGGGAGGGACAGCAGCTGCCCATCGCTTGGGCCACAAGCCCCTTCACCCTCAGGTGCCATCTGGCTTGGCTGCAGGACGGCTACAGCTCAGGTCTTGAAGAGTCCAGAATCAGAGAGAAAGATGCCTGAATTGGCTGGGACAACTGTCAGGCCTGGGGGCTGTTGTTTTGTTCAGGCCCAAGGCCCTCGCAGATGAGAAGTATAAGAAGCCCAATTCTTTGCGTGTGGGGCAGGGCATAAATGTACATTTTGGAAATACATGTACTTTCTGGTCCATAGATCTGTGGAAGGGAGGGAGGGATTAGGAACAACTGCCAGGCCAGAGTTTGCTGCAGCCACCAGGACTACACCTGTGTGACATGCATGGATGAGCTGGGAGCATCCCCATCTCTGGGAGGCAGCTATGCGGAGAGGTGTGCAGGGCCTGGGTATGGCTAATGGGCTGTGAACCTGCATTCCAACATGGGGGCAGCTCTGGGCCTCAAGGCTTGGCATGAGCATTAAGACAGCATGGCCCTCAGCTTCGCCACTCTCGGGACCGGCCCCCTGCAGCGTCCCCCCTTCTTATGGACAGGTCTGCCTGGCTGGTGGCTCACTCCATGAGGGCCAGGACTGCCCATCTGTTCATGGAGCCCCTAGCAGGTCCATAGTAGGTATTTGGAAATGAAGGGATGTGGGAACAGAGAAAGGGAGAAAGGAATTTATGTGCTGGGTCTATCCCTAGACCCAGGAGAAGGAAATGCTGGAGTTCAGGGAGACGGTACTGGGAGTGCTTGGCAAGGGAAAGGGTACCAGGTACTTTACCCGTCACCCTGTTATTAAGCAGTTCTGTGACCTTAGGGAAATCTTTCCATACCTCGGTTTCTTTGACTGTGAAATGGGTTTTAAAAAAACCTCGGCAGTACCTAGTCTATCATCAGGATAGAAATAAGGCAATAGATGTGAAAGCATGAAGATGGGAAAGGATGAAAACACTATTCCATTCCCAATCCATTATTATCATGGTTAATCTCGTAAATAACAGCAACGCGGAGAAGGCTAACCTTTGCTGCTTGGGAAGCAGAGCCGCCGGAGGCCGAGGCTGCTGGGGACACGAGCCACAAGGCGAGGCGTGGGGAAGGCGCGGGAAAGCAGGCCTGCCCCTCCCAGCTCTAGCTCAGTGCTGGAGGGGTGTGCGGGGCGCTGGACCACAGGCTCTGTGTCTCTCTCCCTCTTGGATAGGGCTTTGGGGAGAGGGGCCAGGCTCCCCACACTGCTCTTCTTCTGCTGGAGAGGCCTGACCTCCCTGGCCTGCACCCCACCATTAGAGCCAAGTCTGGCCCCAGCCGGCCTGGGGCCTTCACAGGGAAACTGCAGGGAAGGGGAAGGGAGGGGAGGGGTGTGGGAAAGTGTGTTTACAAGAATGACCCCTCTCCATCCTATTCTCCCCGTAGGACAGACACACACACCCATTCCCTCTGCTTTACCTCCTTTGAAGTAACAGATTTTTTTTTTCCTGACCAGTAAGGGGGTTGCAACCCTCAGCAGAGTGTGATCCGCACCGCACTCAGCCAGTGAGCGCACCGGCCATCCCTATAGAGGATCCGAACCCGCGGCCTTGGCGCTGGCACTCTCCCGAGTGAGCCACGGGGCCGGCCCCAGATTGTTTAAAGGACTGATCTCAGGCCACACTCCCTTCCCTCATACCTTCCCCTCAGTAGTCCCTTGAACTCCTCCTCCCATCGTGGCTGTCCTGAAGCCACGCCGTGTGTAGGGGACACAAAATGGGGGTTCCTCCCACAGCTTGGGCTTCGAGGGAACATGAAGGATACCTCCACACCCCACCCGACACCTGGGCTGTCGGAGGGACAGAAGGTGACACAGGCCTCAGAGCACGAGGCCACCATGACGGGGAGCCTTTCCATCCTCCTCGGCCTCCTGTTCTTCGGGGTGACCCGGCCTCCTCGGCCCCAGGTTCTCTTGCTCCCAGGGCCAGTGTCCTTCTGCCCGACCTGGGCACTGTTCTCCTGGCAAAGCCTCTCCCAACAGGCTCAAAAGGTGTCCTTCCCGAGAGCTTGAGGCAGCGGGGAGACTGCAGGTAGCCTGAGGCAGGGAGGACTTCGGTCAGGACTGGGTGACCACAGAAGAAAAGGAGAAACACGGTGGAGGACACCAGCCCCACCATGCTTGGCTCCTGTCTGTCACTGGGCTGGTCTCACCCTGGAGTCTGACAGGATGGCCAAGGGCAGTGCTGGCTGGCAGGTGTGGCCTTTGCTGAAACACCAACCGACAATGGCTGAGAAGAGAAGAAAGCTCCTGGGATCCTGACTCACCGAGGCTTGGGCCTCGTGTAACGATTGCTCAGCTCCAGAAACTTCCGGCCCGTGATCCTCCACTCCACCCACAGGCAAGGGAACTGGTTTGGTTACCCTGCCATGAGCTCCACCTCAGTCTCCCCGCCAGCTTCACCCGAGGTGACGCAGGAGGACACAGGGCTCCCGCGGCTGCCCCTCTGCTGCGCGGGCAGGAGCTGCAGTTTCACTCGTTTGCCACTGACCGCTGGGCAGCAGTCAGACCCATCTTACAGATGGAGAAAGGAAGGCAGAACCATTCACTGACTTGCTCAGATCCACTTAGAAGCCTGAGGTAAATGCCAGCTGTGCTGCCTCCCTGCTAAGGGACCCCTTCTGGAAGCAGCTGGCACACGTAGCCGCGACCAGGGGGCTGAGAGGAGTCTGCATGTGGAGATGATGGGAGGTGGGGCTTTGTCAAGCCTGAGCAAGGGCTGGGGCCCTACACCACCTCCTGTCCCTCCAGGTATGGGCCTACTTCCTCCAGGGGTCATCTCCAAGGCAGTGAGGTCTCTCACAGGCCAGACAATGTGCCTACTGCTGCCAGGCCAGGGCAATGGAGAGCAGGGGGTGAGGGGAGGATGAGGCGTCCCTGCCTGGATGTGAGCTCTGCCTGGCAGGAGGGGACCTCGAAGTAGCTGGTTCCTTGGGGACATGATGAAGCAGGGAAGAGAGGACTTGACACTAGCAGAGCCTGCTAGGGCTGGTCTCATCACTGATGATCAATCCTGATTTCCTGGAAGCCTGCTAGGCCTCGGCACCTTCTGTATCACTAGCCACCCTCAGAGGCCTCTGCTCAGTGTGAACGCCACCCAGCAGGGAAAGAGGCGCTCAAGGGCAGGGGCACAGGGACTGGAGTTGGGAGGAAGAAGGTAGGAAGTCCTGGTTGCATCTGGACTGGAATAGTTCTCGCGGACCACCATGGGGCGCTGATGGGCACCCTGGCTGACTACTGTCTGGGGGTCCAGGGGCACCTCTGGGTGGCCGTTGGCCATCTCAGAGCCCTGCTTTGGTCCCAGAGACTGTGCATAGCAGAGTGGAGGGCCTCCTCCACGGCTCCCTCCCGAGCACACCCACATGGCCTGCATCAGAACACACGCATCTTTGTTAATTGACTGTAACAATAAGGCTCCTTGGGACGCCACTCCCTGGCAATTGACCCTGCCCACATCCAGCTGTTTATCTCAGATGCTGTGGAAAGAAAAGCAGGACACCCCTTCCGGGGGCTAGGCCCCCGCTGCTGCCACACACACATGCCATGCATATGCAGTGCAGCCTCTCTCTGGCCACTATGAAAACAAACCACAGGGGCCTGGAGAGGGCTGGACAACAAAGCCACACCGCACAGAATCTGGAAAAAAGCTGGTGTGGAGAGCTTTCTATTGAACACAGAGTCCCAGCACCCACTCCACTCTCCCACCCACTCCCAGGGCCTCTCTGTCCCCCATTCCTTGGTCTTGGGCCCTAGCTCGTTTCCACTCCAAGGTCCTCCTTAGCTGCAAGTCATCACAGGGGACAGCTGCCTCCATGCCGCCCACTCCAGGGCCTCGAGTCCACTCTGCGGAGAGCCCTGCCCAGCTGCGGCCAGCCTGCGGGCCTCCTGGCCCGGGCATGCCCTGGCTTTCCCAGCGGGAAGTGCCTGCTCCAGCCCAGCCCCTCCTCACGGCTCCAGCTCCCGAGAGAGGCGGGAGAGCTCCCGCTGGTTGTCGATGACCTTCAGCTGCTGGATATAAGCCCAGGTGTTGGCTGCACTCCGGGTGCTCAGGGACTGCTCCGAGCCTGGCAAGGGGCGGGAGGGGGCGGTCAGGGAGGCACCGAGGCCACTTTGTACAGCCCATCCCTTCCCCCTCCAAGGAGCAATGTCAGTTTTCCTGCCCTCCACCACCCACCCTGCCACTTCCCATCACCAATCCCCAAAGACTGCTGTCCCTGCCCACCCCCCACAGATTTGGAGGACAGAATAGCACTGTGGCTAAGAGAAGAGAGTTTGGAAAAAGCAGCCCCCAAGGTTACATACAGCATAACACTCCTTTACTAAGTTCAAAAACAACTAAAACCAAAAAATATTTTGTTATAATGTATGTATAATATATGAGGGATTTTTAAGGTAGAGGTGTGTGTAGGGTGTGTGTGTGTGTGTGTG